GTTTGACGAAAAAGTGTTCGATATAAAGGAGCGAGGCTATAAAAGAGACGCGTGACTAAATGGGGTCAAGATTAAAATAGAAGTAATGACCGCGCGAGGCAGTGAGAAACGGTGATTGAGGATTCAAACGGTTCGAACGACGTGTCCTTGCGTCACTGGACGTCGTGCTTATTGAACTCGATCGTCTGACATTTCTCTCTCAATAAAAACAGCTCTGATCCTTGCAAATCCCCATGAGAAAGGAAATTCTAACAATTCCCTTAAACTTAAGAAGAGGAAAAATATGTACGATTACAATTAAAACCGACTACACCTCATCGAACGACGGCGTCGGTCGAAAATCCATTCGAGAAACCTCATCGAAACGTCTCTTGTGACGCTCGAACGCACAAGGAAGTAAATGTGCATATTTATTTTAACGATAAATCGCATATGTATCTTCACGTATGTAGCCAGTAATACCGCGAAGACGACGTTAGACGTACGAAAATGCAGCCATGTGACGCAAAAACGCTTAATTACGTTGTTATTCGCTGTAATGACGTCTAATCGATGGAAAGGCGCGTATAAAGTCAGCCACGATACAACGCATGACTTATTACATGCGAGTGACGAACGTACGCTAACGCGTTGCAAATTATATCAGGTTAATCGTCGATCGCCTTTCGCCGTTAATTACCAATTTTTCATCGGGCATTTAAAGGATTAACTGATATTAATGACTGCCCGATACATTTCCAGAAGCGTGAATTATATGACACGCACTTGACACAATGGATTTACCTCCGAGATCTACACGGAAAGACCGGCTAAGGCAAAAGTAACTAAAATAAAAATGTTGCCGTATAAATAGTAGGGGACATTGTTTTGCGTTGCAACATTCACAAAATTTGCTGCACAAAACGCACAAAAATATAGTTGTCTCCACTTATCATACCAATGTGGGTATAACAATTACAGATATAGCTGTCCCAAATATTATTCTTTATTAGGGTTCACGGAAAAAAAAATTAGCTGCTGTAGCTAAATAACTTAGCAAAAAATGGACAGCTAATATTTTTAGTTGTGATAGCTAAAATTTTTGCTACGACAGCAAACCCGTTTGCTGTCGTAGCAAAAATTTTAGCTATCACAACTAAAAATATTAGCTGTCCATTTTTTGCTAAGTTATTTAGCTACAGCAGCTAATTTTTTTTTCCGTGTTGTGCCAATCCTAATTAGACATGTGGTAACCATATCGGTCTCTCCGTGTATCCTTAATTGTTGCCGTATTATTATTGACAAACATTGTCAATAATAACGCGATCTATCCTAACCGAACCTAAACATTAATATATACAAAATGACAAATAATATGCTCTGGGACTTTGTACATGATTACTATAATCACCGCGCCGTCTACGTGTAAGATACTTTTATATCTATTTTTATACACTCTCTCGTAAATAGTGTTCGTTATTCAGCGGTAAGATTGCGCTCGTATCATTAAAGGAGGATACGTTTCTTTGACGACCCTTATATCCTCGCTAAGCGCTCGGAAAAGAGCGTCAGGATCGGACGATCTTGACAGATTGGTATATATTGGCAACGCCCCTCGTCTATAGTTGCTCATCTCGCCAGCGCGCTATTCTCGATGCGATCTACTTAACGAACGAGACGAGGCGATATTAACGAAGACAAAAAGCTCCGATCGGCGAAGAGGCTCGTAAACGGATTTTCTGTCGACTGCAACTTCTCAGAAATCACCTGGACGCGGCTTCCATCGGCGAGATCGCATCTTACCGTCGGCGTTTCTTCTGCCGCCGGCATCCTTCCAGGATTTTTACCCCTGTCTCTGCCGATCGTTTTCTCCCTGTTAATATTTTTCCCAGTTCTATTCGCTGAACCAGTAGAACGGAAGATCGCTCCGTAACGACAAGATATCTCGCTGATGAAAAGTGAAACCGCTTCTGCATTGTGGGAACGTGGGAATCGAGATTAAAATAAAAGATTATTCTTCTCTCTGTATCGCTAGCTTCATGTATTTAGACGCTTACTTCATTGTTTTGCCACTTTATGCAGATGCGAATCTCTGCGTCTCTGCACCGCTAGAGAAAACACAGTTTTCGCGCCCAAATAAATGGATTTGGAGTTATCGCGAGTAACAAATTAATCCGGCCGGTTCTCAACGAAGAGGAACGAGAAGAAGTGGGTGGTAGATAGAAGAAGAAAACGTGGAGGGGTAATATCGGAAGCCCGTGAAATTCCGATAATCCACGCCGCGATGGCTTCGGCATTCCCACAAATCTCGATGATCCTGGTTCGCAGCCGATCGCTTGTATATCGTGATCACCATCGGACGTATTGTGCGGCCGCAAAAATGTATATTGCCTGTCGCGGCGAGAGATTGAAGCGTTTCTTGCCAGGAATCTAACGAAGCATAAGCGCGCCTTTTTGGTCTCGGCCTGTATCGCCGTTGTTCTTGTCGCGAAAAACTTTTCGCCACCCAACGGTCCCACGCTAACATTGTTTCTTCTGCAACAATGTCGATCGAATCTTTTCCTCTCCTGCGTATAAAAATGTATTTTTTACAGGCGAAAAAAACGGAGAATTTTTCAAACTCTCGAAATTTATGAAAAACAAAAGATTAGAAGACAGAAAAGTATATTTTTTGAAAATAATTATATCTGTGCTGTGTGACGCGTGCAATAAAAAAATCAGCATTATAAATTCCAAGTAGATAAACCAAAAAAGGAAGGTATTTCCTTAGGCACGGCAAAATTTTTTGCTACTGCAGCGTCCGCTTTATTTCGTCGTATAAAGTTGTCACCTCTGGACAGGAGCTATCCTTTCATATTTCTGTTTTCAGCCGATAGATGTGAGTCCACCGAACATCACTTGACAATGAGGATTATAGACGATGATGACAAAATTTACGACCTCGTGTTTATGATTTGACGATTTTAGAAGTTAGGTCCGTTTCATTGGTTGCGTACGAGAAACGCTACCCCGCAGACTGCACTGAAAAGAAAACTTAATAGTGCTTGTCACATGGTGACATCATGGGAACTTTTGATATATCCGTCTTTTTATTTTTTCTTCCTAAGGAGAAGTTTATGTATTATGATGAAAAGACACTAAAATAGACACATTGTTAGAAGGAAAGAAAAAAAAAGGTAGGAATTGTAGAATGAATCTATTCAATGGGGAATATTTCAAGTCAAATTTTTTTAAATAAATTTCTTTAATATATATACGCATAAATGTATAAAACATATGAATTATAGTTATTTTTGTACATTATATTATCTATGTTACTTTTAAAAATAGATGTGTACTTGCTGTTCCAATAACATTATTTGTTCAATTTCTCAAGTTTGTAATCTACATGTAAAATTTAAATAAATAAAATCCACTAATATGTCAAACTAATATGTAAACTAAAATAAAATCCAAGTAAAAACACAAGTTCTAAAAAGGATCTTATGTCATGCCTTTCAGAAATATTCTCCAACTCCAAAAATGTTATTCAAGTCTCTATCAAGTTTATCAACTCTTTGTACGGAGATAACAAATCCTATAAAACAAACCAAGAAGAAATTCATGGTGAAATTCGCTGTGAATTCAACATTCCGGATCTTCGCAGACTGAGCGGCCATTTTCAGCGATTGATTAATTCCTGTGAGAAAATTTTCTGTTACGATTCGATGGTGCGGATCGCCATCGTCGTCAAGCGAACAGTTCGCTGCACATCGAAAGTAGCTTCTGCATTGCAAAATCAGGCCGACCGCAATTAGTTTCTTATTTAAACTACGATGATCTTTTAATATATAGTCCAGTATATCTTAGCGATACCACCAACGATTTCCAATCAATTTATAATGTATGGTTGATATTTTTGCATTTTCTTTTATTTATCGTTAAAATTCTAATAGCGTTACATCCATCAATCTATTTCAATATTCTTTCATACACAGATTTTTCTATGTTACCTTTCTATTATTTTTTGAACGACGTAGTTTTACACGTACACATTTTACAAGATTAATTTACGGCAAATTCTATAAAACGAATAAGTTATATTCATTAGAAGACGATGAGTTTTATCGAATTTTAAATCTCAAAAGAATAGAAAATTTTTCAGAACATATTTTGGGAATTCAAGGTTCAAGAGATGTCACGTGAAAACTGGAGAAAAATTCTTACGTTTCCCTTACAATAATGAACTTCAAAATGAGTTTGTGAAAAAAGTCCTGATAAGAAAATAACTCTTAATACCTTTACAATTCACAAAACGACGTCTAATATTGGGAATAATCGACTATGCTTGTTTCTGAAAGCGCTGTTCAAGTAAAAAATCAGTTTATGTCTAATACAGTTATGAACATTAATCAATATATTTTATGTTGTCCTTCCATCATTTATTCTTTTCAAAGTTTACGTGCGAGACAATAGACGACTGAACCAGCATGAAATACTCAGACGGATGTTCGTACGATCTTTGTTGGATCCTTAGTCGGAGCCTCGCTGTAAGAACTAAGGTTAGTTCTAAAATAGAGACCCTCCCATTTTTCTTTTCGATCGCAAAGCGGGATACTAACAATGCTAGTAAAAATCATATCGAAATAGGATAGGCAAGGTGTTACTCATGTTTGTTGCAAGATGCTATAAAAAGAACGAAACGCAAAAGTTAACGTAAGGTCTTAATGAAATTAACAAGATGTATTGTCTAAGCGAGTTTGATTAAAATAAGGGAGATAGTTATCTCGATTTTCTTATAGGAAAACAAATGTCTGTAATTTGTAGACATCTCTAAGGCGAAAATCTTAAAATATGGCGTTTTATTTGAACGATTAAATTTTAAAACCAACCAGCTGTATTGAAATGTTCTTCAGACGAGAAAGATCGGAAGTTGAATGTGTTGAACTAACCAGCGGAATACATGGTACATAATTTTATTGTAAGTAATAATGATTAATTGTCTTTATTATCGTGTATGATTTGAAATGAATTACCTTTATCTCTGCGTGTTGCCTTTACCTGGTTTACCTTTACTTTTTACTTTCTGTATACCTTTATCTTTGTTTTCGATAATGAGAGACATCCGTTGGATCTCCTGCTGTTTAGCCGTTATTTCTTTGATGGAGTTATTTTCTGTATATCTTAATGGCTACAACGAACGCGATAAGATTCATAGTGCTGTTGGTTTTATCAAAATTTTATAAAAGTACTTAAGTCAACATTTTAATTCCTTTATTATCCATTAATGCATTTTTGCAAAATATAATTTCAACAGTAAGACTGAAAGGTATAATTGGAAAAACTTGGATACAACATTTAAATATTTTACTTTTTAAATTCTATATTTCAAAAGAGTATTTCAATATTAAGATCGATGTTAGATTCAATGCAAGAGATATGTTTCCACTGCACACTCTCGAGTATCTAAATATCTTATAAATTGTAATCAAACATTCTCTAATATAGTTTGGACAGAAATGCCAACTAGAATAAGCTAAACGGAGGAGTTTTTTTCTCTGTATTCGTCTTTCTCGAAATACGAAATTTAACTACTGAAAACATTGGCTTCAGAGTTCAAAAACTCACGCAGTTCCGCTGCAATGAGTCTGTCAACATCGTCATAAGAGTAATACATTGAGATCCCTTTGAGCGATACCAACTGGAGCATCTAAAACGAATAGGTTATTTAATAGCAAAAACTCGGCACCTTTGATGATTAAAAAAATACTCTATTATAAATGGTTTTGCCACTTCTTCCCCATTAAAGGTTGTGAATAGTCAGGAAGGTAGCCGATACGGATCTAAAGTTCTTCTCGGCGAAACGACTCTATCAAGCTCGAGGTATTTCACGCATTATATTAATCTTTTACACAAAAGAATATCGATATAGAATAGACATAGAATGAAGATTTTGTTATTCCGACTTCTTTTCTTTACATTTTGCAATTTATATTTTACAAAATTACATTTTTCAATGTTGTGCTTAATGTAGTCATTTAAAAAACAAAATGAAATTAACAGAATGTAAAGAGATGCAACCTGAAACTATTATCTAGAAAGTTTGCGCCAATTTATAATGTGCGAAAAATTTGCAACCTTCCAGGGTGGCTGCGCGCGAGTGAAATGATTAATTTTGCTCCACGCGAAACGCGCCTTGTTATTTATCAACTACGCTCTGCGTTGAGAATACATCCCGCTGTTAATTGACGCTTACACGAAGACCGATTACTGCAGCCGGGAGACATGCCGCCTGACAGACTAATTAATTGGCTATTAATGATCCGACGTACGCGTGATGATTCGCACACGGCTTTTCTAGCCACGAAAATCACGCTGGCGAACGTCGGTAACTTTATATTTGACTTTTAGATATTATTTAACTATTAACGCAAGTGTAACTTTCTCTTCTCACTACTCTAAACTTGTACTAATATTCATCTTTTATATTCTTTATCACACAAATAATACAGCTATTATACGATGCTAAAATAGCAAGAAATGTTTGAAAGCAGGTAGCTCTCAAAAATATTTTGAAAGGTGTTCCAAGTCAATCCTTTCAGGTATTTCTAACTGGATATACCTGACCCCTGTCTCGACTGGATAGTTGACGATAATTTTACTAAGGCTACAAATTAACGAGCAAAACCGCTCGACGAACCAGTTTAAATATCGAGTGACCAAAAATTGTGTTTCCTATAGTTGATTTACAGCCAAGATAACTACATTCTCATTTACTGCCTATTTTTTTATGTAATAGAACACTGAGCAGGTTCGCAGAAGGAAACGAGAGAGAAGCGTTTGGAAGCGACGGAAGAGGAAGAAAAGAAAAGAAGTAGGGGTTGAATGCTCGAACGGGGTAGATTATTTACGGCGTAACGGTCTACGTCACTACTGTCCGCGTTGTCAGGTAGGCGGATCGAGTCCCGAGGCGCAATTTGCATCTGTTTGCAGGTTCTCGCCTCCGCCTTCTTTCGCTGGCTCATCAGAGAGCGATGTATATCGTTCCTCTTTCACGCCCGCGTACCAGCCGATCGCCTTTTTACACGCCGGATCGTCATTACCGTCCTGGCACACTTGAGACCGTCCGATACGCCGCCTTTTTGTCACGGGAAATTATCAAACCGACGTCGAACAAAGGTTTTTTGGTGATTGTATCCGGGATTAATTAACGTCTTTTCCTCGGCACGAACTTTGTAATATCTTACAATTGGCACGGGACGCGAGAATCACGTAAGATAATGTTTTGAGAAGACTTATAGCGTTTTCGATTTGCTGACTCGACCCGACTCCGAGTCAGAAAAGTTTGATCAAGAGTAAGATTTTTGTAGAAATTGTGGTTCAAATCTTGCTTTTGATCAAACTTTTTTGACTCAGGGTCGGGTCGAGTCAGAAAATTGAAAACGCTATTAGATATTTAATGGCTTTCATGAATAAGAAGATATTGGTTACTGGCTTCTGTATGTATGTATACGAGAGAGAGAGAGAGAGAGAGAGATTTAAGTAAAAGAAAAACCAAATTAGAAATGCTGACAATGTGGAGAACCGGCGCACCTTTGGCAATATCATTGGTAGCGCGTTTGGTAACGCCTTAATTTTATCTGCAATGTATATAAAAGAAAAATATAATAAATATAGTGATCCACCGTTTCCAAAACCTAATTTCCGAAACACTCGATTTGTCTTACAAAACTTGCGTTGAAAGAAATCGTTTTTGTATGCTAAGCCGAAGGTATAGTACTAATGTGTAAATCAGTATATCGATATTCTATAAATATGTATTATCGTCCCATTTGTACACTATAATGCTAAAGAAAACTAGGCTGAAGAAAGGTTAGCTGTAGACGACACGTATTATCTCTCGAAAATCCTGCTCGAATGCCCGGAACCCATCTGCGGAACGGGTCCGTCGGTCCGATTGTGACGGTGTCAGAAATAACGTAACACAACGTGACATCTTCACTGAACTTTGCCTACGGGGGGTCGAGAAGGTGTCCCGTCGTGACGATAAAACAAACTTCTTAATACCTTTATGGTTGTTGGGATCTCTTAAATTTCCGTCCAGACCGGTTTCTCTCGCCAATCGGTAGCATTATTGGGCCATTGTCATCTATGAGGAGTATTTGACAATGTCAGATTAGGTCGATTTTTTACCAGCTTGGACGGGAGAATAACTATTTCATATCAGTCGTTAGAAGTTACATATTTCTTATATCGGACATATTAAATTAATAATATTACATTCTGTACTTATACATTGGTTTGTCTTAGACGCGGAAGATACAAAGAATATTTTGAAGCGGCATTAAAATAATCCTGAATATATTATTAAAATAGTTTCCGGGAGATTGTACCCTACATTATTTAAGGTGGTTAATTACCAAGGGAAACCAAAACGATCGATCACCGCCTTACGTCACCGTCGCTGCTATTGTGTCGCATCCTGTTTCAGTCGTGCATTGTCACTTCCCCGATAGCTCAGGACGGGGCCCCCCTGGAAGAGAAAGAGAGGGGGAGTCGAAAAAAAAGCGAGAATCCTGGAGTAATTCGCAATCATGCGTGAACAGCTGACACTGTAGATTAGGTAAACTACGCGCGTCGCGCCGGCGATTTGCGACTAAATCGCTTTACTTGGCTTGAAAACGTACGGCAAGAAGCGCGCAACTTGTGCTCGAGCGATGACGCCGCACAGAACGAGAAAAGATCACGCCGGTTTTCTCCCATTACCTTAATTGCGTGCTCTATAAGGAAAGATACGATCGTCGCTGCTACTACTTTGCTGAAAACGCTTTATGACGTTACGCGCTTGTAATTAAACCGTCGAATATTACCTTTACACAATCCAATATCTAATTTTCCACCAACAATCTTCCTGCACAACCCATTTATTTGTTAAAAATAAAGGACAATTTTACCGCTCTAGCTAGTAATTTTCAAAACTATAATGCTATGTCGGATGGTTTCTACAAGCAGTTTTCGTCACTTCGGAAATATTCAATATTTATTGGATTTCAAACGCGTGTTTACAAGCGAATAGTACAAAGCTCTATTTTTTATGTAGAATTTTGAAGTTATTTGCAGGCACTTCTTTTGCCATCAAACTTAGATTTATCTCCAATGGCAAAAGAATTAAATTTTCGTCAAATCTTTCCTGACAGAAACTTGGAAAAATCATCTAAACCTTAAATCTTTAAATTGCGGTTGAGTAAATAATAAACAAAAATAATGGCATGACAATGAGATAGAAGAGAGTTTAACTCACCCTTGTGTCCATCGAGAAACAACGAGCACGGTGTATAAGCATGGAGCATGCTCGTAAAGCGCGGCAATAAAGTCGCGAGAGATGCCCATCGTCTGGTACCATTTGGGCGTGAATCGGAGGCGTGGTGAAAGGCCTCGCAGTGCCACGATTGGTCGTTGGCGACGATGGGCACCAGTGGCCAAGGACTGTGGGTCTGTCTTGCCGTTCCGTCCAAGTCCAATTCTACCTCAAGTAGGCGATATATCCCGCCGAAACCCCGCGGTACGGGGAGAACTACCTGTGCCGCAGCTGGTGGGAGTGCCTAGCCGTTAGTTACCCTGGTACCCCATCCCCGAGAGACTTAGTCAGGATCAGCGCGTCGATCAGTCGACATCCATTTCCAGTGCGGACACACGCAAGTGCTCGCGGCCATTCGACGGACCTATTGAGAAAAGAGAAGCTCGCGGTTGGGCCCGACGGGCCTGGACCCCGAGCCGAAATTTTTGGATTCAAATGGTCTCGATCAACGACAATTTTTATTACCAATGTATGTTTAGTGTTTGTCTATGTGTTTCGTTTTATAATGGTCGAGTGAATTGCAATTAGGCGGGATACGTAGAACGAAACGTTGTGAGATTTGTCAGAAGGTAGGACGGCCGATATCGTTTTCACGAAGGGTTTAGTGAGGTGCGGTAGTGAAGTTTACAACATTCGGTGTCGGAATAAAGTCGTCGGAACTATTTTGCAGTGGCTTGGTTCGGCTGAGATGACGGTTACCACTAATTTCTCGATGATGAGACCATGTTTCACTGGATATTCCTTTCAAGGTGTGTCTTCCGTCGCAATTGATTATATTTAGTCAACATTAGTTTTCGAGATACGTTGAGTTCAACTTTGGAATAATTTTACGATCATTTGACAATTTTAACACCATCCGCATTGCCTCTCAAACGTCTACAAACATTGTTTCATACAGTTATCTTTAGTAATTAATATGAAAATAAATATAGAAACACGTGTTTGCATATAGTTTTCTTTTAGTCTGTAAAAATGTACTTTCACAATCTTAAATCTCGGTAAGATCTTATCTTCTAAAAACTTATAAAGTTATAAACTTATAAAGAAATATTAAATAGAATAATTCAAGATTTAACAAACGTAAAAACGATTAAGGACAGTTCATGTAGAGGCTTGAAGAAGATAAGCGAATATTAAATCACGTGTCATGTAAATATTAATTAAATCATTAGCGGTAATATCTAAGAAATAATATTATCAAAACAGAGGACGGCGCTTTTCAAAGTTAGCACCGAATCGTTGAGTATAAAGCACGCAAAATAAAGTTTAAAATAGTGTTTACTTGTAAGTTAAGCAGTGATACTTAAATTTGAACCTTTCCTTAAAAGTAACGGCCACGTTTTCCATTTGTTGATATTTCCAATCGTAATTAATTAAACGAGAAACGGAAGCTGAGCTGGAGGCAAAAGCGGATGGAACAATTTATTAAGATAAAATTCTTGATGGTATATTGTTGACAAATGTGAAAAGCGCATTGGCTGCTTGTTCTCTACAGAGTTTGAATTATAATAATGAAATTGAATTCAGGCAATTCATTAAATTAGACACTTTTATTGTATAACAGCTTTAAAAGATGCATTAACTAAGTTAAATGAAAAGTTTTCAAATGTACGAAATTTAAACATCATTCAATACTTTTTACATCCTTGACCTTAACAGACAATTATTTCAAAGGCGAACAATTGTCACACACAAAGCCATAAATTATGAAGACTTTCATCCTTGGGCCATTGATGTTTTAACTGCACAGCATCTGTTCTTTTTCTCCTCAAGGTTTGTGTATTTTAAAGGACAAAGCATTTTAGTGGCGAAATGTCTCGGACAAATCATTGACGTCTCACAATTTTAGGAAGAATTTTTATACGATCTATTGAAATCATACAGAACTGTCGTCGTTGAAAATATGTTTCCTGTATATTGAAGTCACTTCAGCCGATTTCTATCAGCTCTCTCTCTCTCTCTCTCTCTCTCTCTCTCTCTCTCTCTCTCTCTCTCTCTCTCTCTTTCTCTCTCTTAGAATGTATATAGCTCACAGAATGTATATAGCTACAATATATAGTATGCATTCACTTGCTTACGTTTGTGTGCTTATCCGTGGATCTATTTATCATGTTATTCGTCCTCGTCAATTGTTTAGCGTTCAATCATGCACGATCGAGTCTTCTTAGAATTTTATTATAGAAATACAAGAAAATACTAGAATCTATGCGCATTATTACAAAACGTGTAGCAATAGACCACTCGGTTATTTTTTTACAAAATTTATGCAATTCTATCATTGTTGCTTTAGAAACGTGAAAGTATCTAACTTTGTTCGAAAATTCATTTTACATTGTGTACGAGTATACCCTCTATTCAACTTGCCATTTATTGCGTCAAAAATTTAAGCGCACTATTACTTAGCTTTCGAATATACTCAAATATGAAGTTTGCGCTACCTGGATTAAAGAAAAGAAGAGTGTAGGAAAGGTTGAGGTAAGGTTGAGGAAAAAATGTCCTGCGGACGCACTGTTCAGTCAGCGACGGAAAATGTGAACGATACAAGGTTTAATAACAAGGTTCGTAAAATTAAATAACGCGATTTGTCAAGTGTCCAGACATGCGGTGTCCCGCGAGCGTAATTAGTACGTGTAATTAGTCGCTTAATGATTTACCAGTTGGAAGCGAGACGCGAAAGCGTGTGCTCGCGGAAATCACGGCGGTAAATGATGGCGGACGATTAACACTCAACTCGACGAATGCGGTATGCGCTTCCGTAAAATCCACGCATAGAAGTTTTCAATGATGGTCATTAATTACTTCATTGCAGTGCGCAAGATTTTTTTTTGCCTCGTGATTCCGTCATTAAAATGATTTATTAGTCGCGCGGTTGGGTGGAGGAACCTTTCCTTGTTCTTGAAAGCGCGCGTTTCAAGTTAAAATCAGAATCGCCCGGGAGACGCTGAAAACCCCCGAGTTAATGGAATCTCCGCGTAGCTCCGATTTCTTGATCAAACGATCACTTAAATCGGAAGCCGCTTCGTAGGAACGCGATCGCTATCGGCGGGCATTCGCGCGGTTTTTCGAGCATCGATTGCACCCGCGGCGATGCATGGCTACGGTTATGCAAGCGTTCTGCGCAATCGGATAGCGGTTTCCTTTTTCTGCGGATGCTTTTTACCGGTCGCGTTAGCCGAAGCCTGCTTACCCTTTGTCTTGTGCGACAAAGTGCTTTACGCGGAAATGTGTTTAATTACAAACGAAAGCGTGTGACCGTACCCAGTCGCGTTTCCCGTCTCTCGATGACGATAACGACGACGGGCGATAACGACGATGCCATCATTTCCATATCTTTGCCGAGCCACGATTGTGAAAGTGCAACAATGTACATTACTTATCGCGATCGCCGCGTTGTTTTATTAAGAATTAACGCGTTTTGCTTATACAAAAGATTTACTTACGGGCGACGTTTTGCACCCGGATTGGAAAAGTGAAAGCCGCGGGTTCAATCATCCGCTTCCTTCTCGCCACGAGCTCTCTCTAAACGATTAATAATTTGTCAATACGGCGGGCGTTGAAAACCGCAGAATTAATTTAATCTGCGTCTATGCGCACTGATACAAATCATATTTTTGCGTATCGACGACTACTAAGCTAATATACGTTTATACTTCTGCCAATTTTATGAATATCTCAGAGAAAGAAAGATGTTTCTTCCAATCCTCGGTTCATTCTTCTTCATTATGGAAAACGTCGTGTGAGACGTTGGATTATTTTCCTAAAAGTACCAAATTATAGGTAATTATTACAAAGAAATTTGTAATAAATTTGTGTTTCATATATTTGTCTTATACATGTTATCGATACAAACTATTAGGCGCAATTTTTGCACGCAATCACACGAGTCAAGGACGTTCTGTTTTACAGAACTTTGCGCTCTCTTACTGCAGCATTGATTTAAATCCGATTAGCAGGAATAAGATTAATAGCTAATATGTCGATTACGTTAACAATATATATAGTGTGTTGTAACTACAATAAGAATCGCCGTTAACGAAGGAAACGTGCCGATCGCCGTCTCGCCTGGACAATCTGATTTTTCGTTGCGCTGTCATTGGGATTCCCTTTTTTAGTCGATTACCGCGTCTTGTATGAGCGAGCGCGTTTTTCTGTAATGTCGAACGTGCGATTGCGCGTCTCTTTTTTGCCCCTCTAATTGTACAGCTCATTCGTCTCGTTATTATCGCCTTTACTCTCAATTGTAATTTTATCGTTCGAAATAGCCGTTCTTTAAAACGTCGGAGGCCGAAAGTAACAAAGATACACCCGGGAAAAAGTTTGAAGGGAAACAAACTCGTTTGAATTTTGACCTTGGTAAATTTTAATTTAATCTCAAAGAAATGATTTCTTTATCTTATCTCAAAATTTTATTTCACTGAGACTGGAATTCCTAAAGAGAATTCATACCTAGTTCTTCAAATCCAGCAAATGTTTTAGTAAAAGTATAAATAAAAAGTCAGTGGATTCAAAGAAATGTGGTTTCAACGTATCCCATTTGTTTAACCTAACTAAATATTTTTTTCTGGGTGTACCACGAAAAATCGCAATTCAACGTGTACGTTGTATATTTAACTTGAATCACAATACATATCGTGTCGCGTTACTTGCTTCGCCCTTTAAATTTTGCGTTAAAACGCGCGTTCTGCAGTCAGTGAAAATCTCAATGACTCTTTATAGATCGCGGCCGAGATCGTCGTCGTGTAACGCGAAATTAAATAAGCCAAGCAAATTATACGCTATCATTGTTGTGCGTCGTAAACTGCACCGGGATTTATTGGACTTATCGGTAGTTACGGCGTTGGTCGCTTTATATGCCCCGGCCGCCCGCGCTTATAACTCTCTCTTTTACTCTCTTCATCCTGTTCTCTTTCTCTTCCTCTCACTCTTCCTCTTGGAGAGAACGAGAGAAAGAAGTCAAATCAAGCATGCGGTGCAGCGATAAATCCAGACCGCTCTCTTTATACGCCGTCCAATAACCGTCCCGCCATCACCTCGTCAACTGTCTCTCTCTCTTTCTTTCTCTTCTTCTTCACTTCCGGCAGACATGGAACTCGGAGACTGGTTAAAGGACAATTTCACAATTGCGTCTCCGCGAAAGCGATGAAATTAGGAGAAAAGGGATCGATCATTATTAGCATTTAGTGACACTAGTAACGTCTACTTCGGATTTCAGTTATGGAAGCAATAAAAGGAGGAAGTGTACCGCTTGTTGCAGATATAGGATCGATACCGGGCCAGGGCCGCGTAAATCAACTCGGTGGTATCTTCATCAATGGACGACCGCTGCCTAATCACATCAGATTGAAAATCGTCGAGATGGCCGCTGCGGGGGTCAGGCCGTGCGTTATATCGAGGTATAGTATCTGAAATCGGGGATGTCACCGGTTAATTTGACAATATAACTTGTTGAAGTAGAAAATTGAAATTTTTATTTGACAAACGAGATATTTAAATTGATTCGTCCATTATCGTCCACTGAGAATAGACAATTGAGGGTGTCCCATGGATGCGTGTCGAAGATTTTAAATCGCTATCAGGAGACTGGTAGCATCAGACCCGGAGTTATCGGCGGCAGCAAACCACGTGTGGCCACGCCGGAAGTGGAGGCGAGAATCGAGGAATACAAGCGCGACAACCCGGGTATGTTCTCATGGGAAATCAGAGATCGACTGATCAAAGAAGGCATCTGCGAACGGACCAGCGCTCCGAGTGTGTCCGCAATTTCACGACTACTCCGGGGTCGCGATTCCGAAGACGACGTTAAATTAGGTGACGGTGAGAAGTCCCACACAATTGCTACACAAATGATTAGTGTAGCGAACAGAAAATCCATAGTGTTAGGTAGAATTCGGAGTACAGACCTTAAGCGTGTCTTAGGAAGTACAGGAAATATGCATATCCGAGAAGCAAAAGAAAAACGAAGAGGAAATATTTAAATCACTATATTTATCTATGTACCTTTTGTTCAAATTATTTTTCTTGTTGAATTTTCACTGACCGATTAATAGGCTTCGAACACTATCGCAAAAAAATCACTTTAGAAAATGAGGGGTGAAGATTAAATTTGGTCTGTGCTCCAAAACTTCATATATTAATTTAAATACATTTTTCTATCGATATATACGATAATTTAACCATTCCATGCGGAATTAAGTCAGCTTGTCTCTCGTGTCATTGTCGCTTCGATACAAAATACTTGCTTTACGAGTTCTCTGAAAATTTCTTCGATCGCTAATGGCGGCGGCTTTCTTGAGCGCGTGTCCATCGGCTCTCTCGACTGCCCGAGTTTCTTCCCGCGTTCTAACAGAGATTGATGATCGCCGGCGAATCGGCAAATTGGCCCGACGCCGAGTATCCTTGCATGGAATTGGATTGTAACTGCATCGGCTCGCGTAAGAGACCGAACTTACGGTCGTTCGTTACGTGACGCCTCTTAAAATTGAATTAGTCGCTTTTCACGTTTCTTACGAATCTCGCGACGCATTATAGACGCGCGATTCTGTAAAAATTGCATGCATCGTACGAGAAGAGCTGAGGAAACAGCGCTAGCTAGGTGCGAAAAAGATTTTCGCCTTTTAAATTTGACTCGCTACGTGCAAAGACCGATTAACCTTTTAGTATTTGCGGTTCTCGGAAGAAATGAAGAATATGGATAGTCTTGCTTTGCTCTTTCGCTTTACTTTTCCGCTCAGAGTTTAATCCCATTCAGTTTATCTTGATTATTTTAATACTTAACTTAGTCTGCCTTCTTCCACCTAAAAAGATGTAGAGATTTCTTACTTGTAATCACTTCAGATTGAGATGTGCGGGCGATTAGCATTAGCATGGTAAAGAAGCCTCCCCTCTGCTTCTACTCGTATGCTAGCAGAGAGATTCTATAATATAAAGGGGTGTTCATGACAAGATAACCAACGACTTTTTCATCGGACTCGAACTCTGTTCGTTAGAGAAACGCCTATCTCTCTGTGCCATAATTGTCACAACGTTTTAACAAACATTTAATATTTAGATCAATTAGAAACGTTTAAGACGCCCGTCACGGATTGAGGGAGGTCCCAGGTTCGAATCCTGGCTGAGATAATATTTTTCGCCATACGAATTTTAAATTCAGTAAGGGGAGCGGAGTTATTGTGATGAATGCTAAGTATAGCATTTAAAGTAATTTATCAAAATCGTTCGGCGATTTTATAACACGTGAATTCACTGACGATAATGATTCCACCCGACGAAAAACCTGCGTTATATGTCCGGAAAGTATCGGCGCGCAGGACAGGTTGGAGAAAATACGGTATATGGATTCATCAGGGTTGGGAAAGTTACTTTATAAAAGTAACTAGTTACAGTTACAGTTTCTTCGCTAACAATGTAACTAGTTACAGTTACAAGTTACCAATTCTGAAAAGTAACGCGTTACAGTTACAGTTACTCGAAAAGTAACGAATCGTTACTTTGCAGTTACTCCCTTGCAATAGAAATAAAAATATCGAATCTGCATCTGAATTATAAAGCGGCAATAAAGGCGTTTATGCGCAAATGCAAGGCCTAATGCGATCTGTGG